TTGAAGCTGGAAGTGGTAATGGAGAAAAAGGTTAAGAAGAATAAAAATGGGCATAAAATCCCTGATAGGGATAGAATGGTCATGGATGGTGAGTGATCGCATGGAAATGACAGACTAAACAAATATTTGCCCAGAGGTATGAATGGAGTAGAGTACTTATTCATTAAGAGAGCTCAGACCTGACATCTTCTTTCAAAGGACTTCTCCATTGGGCATTTCTAACACCAAACACCTTTTATCCTTAAGGGGTTTGTGCAAAAATGTGGAAATTGTTGGAAATTACAAATACTACCTATTTCTTGAGCTGGCAAGAAGAGAACTGCTAGAACATGTACTTTTTGAGCCAGTTAAGCCTGAAATCATGGTAGATTCTGATATACCATTGTCTTGGGGATTGTTTAGTGATTTCTTCAATCTCCATACCGAGTCAAATTTATACAAACTTTTGCCCTAATCAAAACACCTTGAAAAAGTTCTAGCTCCCTTTCAGATCGTTACCAAATGCTTATTCATTCAACAATTCACGGAAACTAGACATTTGTCTTTTTTTTTTACAACAATGCACGCCTGGTATAACACATGGTCCAGTTTAAACTCCCTGTGGGGGTAGAGAGGGGCCAGTGGCCATCCCTTGATTGCAAAAACTAGACAAATTATGGACAACTAAACATCAATCGAATTTAAATTGGATCAAACCTAAAGTTTCAAGTTGCCCACCTGGAGCGGTTGATCAATCCACAAAATCCGATGTTGGTGCTATTACAAATGCCTAAATGCATAGATTCCTTGCAAGAACCTTCAATCCAAGCACCCAAATCAAGCCCTAGCCAAGTGTGTGTTCTTAAGTGAAGGTTTGGTGAGTTACAGGAGAGAAGAGAGAGAATGGAGAGAATAAAATTGATCTATCATTCACTCTAGTCTACCTCTTCTAATAAAAGAATCCTAATTTTGCCACATGTCATCATTTTATCATCTGTTTTGCCAAGTGGCTTCTTCCTGTCAATCAATATTATGTTTTTCCCGCTAACACTTAATTACACTCATTGCATCCCTTAAAACTAGCAAGTTTCTCAAATTTGAAATCTACAGCGTGATTTTTGCACTCTTTACATCGTGAATGTAGGGATTTAAAATTTGAAATTTGAATCCCCCTATCTTCTATATCTCTACCTTGATTCTTCTTATAACCCTAGCTCCAAATCCATCTCTCTCGCTCTTTGTTTCCATTTTTATTGTGTATGTCGTCGCCTAAGGTTTTTTGGGCGTTTTCATTGTCATTGATGGGGTGTATCTATCTCCGGTTCTTGGGTGCCCTTCTATAAGGTTTGATAAAGCCCAAACCATGTATCAATGTTCATCAATTTCCTCGGCGCTTGGATTTTAATTTCCCACATTTGAATTTTAGGTATATCTTCATCATTTTGGTTTTTATTTTCCATGTTTTTTGTATGTTAAATTTCTAGATCCAAACGGAGATGCAGAAGCTGAAGCTTGATCCGATGATTTCTTCACTAACTTATGGTTTACTTGTGGTGGAACTATGATCGGACCTTACTTTTGGCTTTACTTATTGTTGGAAGACATCGATAACACAGTAAGGACATCCCCATTATATTCAATTTTTCATCTTGATTTTGTTCTGTTTGATTTAAGGCATGTTATGGTTATGTCTAGGAACAAATGGTTTGATTGATGAATTGCTTTCAGAGCTTGGATACAAATAGGTCGTGAAGATCTGTTTGACTGTTTCTGATGGTAATGCTTTATGTATTGTTTCAAACATAGTGAATGTAAGTACATTAAGTTAGTTCTTTCTTTCCACTAATTGTTGTGTGTTTTGGATAACTGAGAACATGATGGCCCACTTGGAAGGCACCGACCCACTTAGAAGGCGCCTTCAGGTGATGGTCAAAAAAAGATTCATGCCAACAAGTGAAGTTTCTCCAAGAAATTGGAAGGAGAGTATTAAGAAAAGGTTCAATTATAAATATTTTTGATTTCCATTTATACACATAAAGATTTTGTGAGCAACAAGTACGTTATACTTGCAGGTGACCCCACCAACACCTATGATGGTAGGATTATGCTTGCAGGTTACCAGTTTGTTGTTTATGTTCTACCTATTTCGTCTTAAGGCTTGAATTTGCAATTAGCAACTAAAACCCATTATGGGTTTCAATGATTGTGGAAAGTGTTTCATGAAATTGAAAGGGACAGAATGATTTTTAGGCTTGTATAAGGCAGAACCAGAGCCTCATACGAAGTTCTGGAAATGATTTGATTTTAGTTACGCTGTGATGAACCAACCACGCAAATTTTCTCATTGTTTTTTCAGATATGAAGATGTTTCTCTAACATTAATTATAGTATCATGAACGCCTTTTTCATCTGCCAAATCTTTACTTTAGGAAATACTCTTGTGCAGAATACCATTATTCATTCGTGTTTTCTGTTTTCTGGTATTATGTTGTTAAGAAATGGTGGAATCAAGAAAGAAGCAAAAAGTCTAAATTGGGATGGTAAATTTTTTTTATCAATTTACTTGGACTTGAAGGTGGAAATGAAGTCAACAACAACGCTATATTTTATTCTTCAAAATGCACCTATTGTTGTTGGCAATCAAGTAACTTGATTTACAGTAACCTCTCAATTTGTTCCGTTTTTGCCCTTTTTAATTTAAGGAAGATTATTGTTGTAAGTTAATATATTTTTGAATGGTATCTATTCTTTTCTTTTTTCTAATTTTATTTTGAGGGTATAATTGGGAAAATAGATGAAGAAATATTTGAAAATTCAAAGGTGGTTGTGTAAAGAAAAAGCTCCAGGAGCTCATTTTTTCCCATATTTTTGTTTTCTTTTCTATCACAATTCCACTATCATTGAATGTTTAGGTGGGACCTGGGTTTGTGATATTATGGTGTACATACTACATACTACCGGTTTATTAAAAAAAAAAGCTACCGGCTTATTTTAAGTAGTTCAAGAGGTAAGGTTGAGTTACAACTTACAACATAAAATGGAAGTAAAAGTGGGTTTACATACATAAACCTATTGGTAATAGGATACACAAAAAAATATGTTATTGACATTATTAATACTAAAAAAAACACTTTCATTTCTTTTGACATGCTTATTTAGTTTCAATTTTTTTTATCTTTACTTGACGCATTCATTTTTCCCCAATTAAGGGTCTAAAGTATTTTTAAGTTTCAATGACTTCTATTTTAAATGGCTTTTATTTTAAAGGGATCATTTACGTCAATGACTTCTATTATTAATTATTATTACGATTTAAGTTTCAAATTTGTTTTTTATTTTGAGACCTTGTGTAATACACGAGTTATAACCTAGTATTACATATTCAGCCCTCACACACTCCTCTTGTTGAACCTCGCCCTAGGGGCCACTTCTATTTTACACTTTAGTCCCTATAATCAATAATAATAGCATACTTTTGTATCTTATATATCTCAACATTTTAGCAACTTACTCTAGTTTATCCTCCTTAATAAATGGAGGTTTTTTTGCCACATGTCAATCTCTCATGAGTTTTGACACTTGTCATTTTGTGGTATTTTTGAAATAAATATTATCCACTTGTCAATTTTTGGTTTGTTTCAATTTTTAAAATTAAAATCATATACTTATATATGTAAAATATTAAATATCATATATATCATATTAAATTGCAATAAATACGTATCTTCCTTTTTTATTTTAAAGTTATACATTAAAAAATATTTTTTGTTTACATTTTAATGTTTAATCTTTTTTTAAACCAACCCGTGTATTACACAAGTTTGACACCTAGTAAATATAATATCCCATTACTAATTAAAGTGTCACAAACCATATCCCAAAATTTTAATTTAGAATTAAATAATTAGTTAGAGAATTTCTAACGGATGTTAAAATATGTGTACTTGCAACTCAAAAACTATGGAATAGCTAAGGTTGCGTTTGGTTGTGGAAAACTGTTTTTATTTTCTAAGAAAATGTTTTCAGAAAATAGAGTTGAGTTTTCGCTTTCAATTTTCTATGAAAATTTTAGAAAACGCGTTTGGTTGAAACCGAAGGAGTTTTCATTTTCCATATTAGAAAATTGGAAAACTGTAAAAATCAATTTTCTAATTTACATACAATTTGGAAAACTGAAAATTTTCATTTTCTTGGAAAATTTTGGAAAACTAAACGAACCAAACGCGTTTTCAAAATTTCCGTTTTTCTTGGAAAATTTTCCTAGAAAACTAAAAAATTTTCCACAACCAAACGCACCCTATATACCTTAAACTATGACAAGAATATAACGTCTGAATCTGATATCGGGTCTTACCTAAAGGTACATTATGTTTTGGATTTTGGTTTTCTCGACCCAAACCAACAGTTATACAACTCTAAATCTGATCATATGATATATTATACAAGTATCAATTAGAGTTGATAGTTTCAATATATTTATAAGAAAACAGGTGATGCAGAAAAAAATAGATATAAAAGAAAACAAAGCCGAATAGATTGAAAGTTCTCTTACAATATATTCGGATATTAACATCCTAAACGAAAACAAAATTTGTATACATATTTAATACATCAACTAATAATTACTTTTACAGTGGCGGACCTTAGTGGTGCCCGGGACTGCTACGATTCCGGCACGTAGTGTGAATTTTTTTTTTTATTATTATGTTTTATTATGTTTTTTCTATTAAGTGCACCAGCTTAAAATACGAGTGACACAACTAATGTAGATTTTTTCGGAAATTTTTTTTTAGTGGCACCCCTACTAAAACGTTCTGCGTCTGCCACTGTACTTTTACCATATTGTAAAGTAAATAAAGTATTTAACGCAACCAAACCAACCAAATTTAAAGCATAGAAATAAACTCATTTAACACGGTATCTAACCCGTTCAATCCATTAATTATATTAATTTTAAGACTATACTTGTCAACTTGGGTCCTAAAAATAAGGGGCTGCCTTTGAGTGTGAACAGAGAAACTTTCCCACAAAACTTCAAAACAGATTCAAGAACCATTTCCCCCTTTTTTTTTCTCTTTCTTGAAACCGGAAAATTGATTATCGTAACATGATTAAGATACTGGAATCAATCTACCTGTTCTTATTTATTTATCTCTCATTCACTACTTTCTTCGCACAATCGGCTCCTCTAAATGCCATAGTTCTTCTAGTTCCTGGGTTTACTGGCATTCTACCCTCCAAACACTACGCTGGGTACTCTTGATGTTTGCTTTCTTCCCTTCATTCTGATGTTTTCAAGAAAAGATCTGAGCTTTCTTGATGGATTTTTTGTTTGTTTTGCATAATCTTTGATGGGTTTACAGGTATGTGACATTAGATGTAATCCGTGGCAAAAAATTGTATTATTATTATGTGCTTTCAGAAAGAAACCCTTCTAAAGATCCAGTAGTTCTTTGGCTCAATGGTGGCCCTGGTTGCTCCAGTTTTGATGGGTTTGTTTATGAACATGGTATACTACACTTTTCTTCACTGTTTTATTAGAATCACGTGCCTGTCTTGATTTATTTTCACATAAATTTTCTTATTATTTAGTACAAATAGCATTTTTTGGAAGGGTAAATTTCCATGAAATCTTGAATTGACAATCCACTTGTTTCAGAATCATAATTCATGTCACAATATTGTAAAGATAAAGGATATGTTGATACCATGTCATTTTGTAATCAGAATATTTCAATAGTCTTTTTATATTTTGGGACCATAGATTGCCATTCTTAAACTGTGTATGTAATTGTAAATGTAATGCATGATATGTACTCTTAATACTCCTAATTCCCTCGAGTCCTCAAGTTCTACTCTCTCTCTATACACACCAAGACCAGTTTTCTGGGAGACCTCACCATTGTAGTCATAAGTAGTCATAACCATGGGTATATTAGGTATTCACATATGAGTGGTTCTTGTCTTGCTTAATCAATCTAATATATATATATATATATATATATATATATATATATATATGTTGTGTTGTAGGTCCTTTTAATTTTGAGAAAGATAAAACTGGAGGCTTGCCAAAGCTTCATCTCAATCCATATGCATGGAACAAGGTTTATGTTTTCAACATCATCAAAACTAATTTGATAATGGGGTTAAATGCAAGAAATAGCAACATACTTCGGCATATTTGTTTATTATAGTATCCTACATTCCTTATTTTCCTGTTACAACATTGTACTTTTTAAAATCTATTTGATTATAGAAAATATATCTAAATACAAGGCAACTTTCACCGCTATAAATGGTTAATATTTCAAAGTATAATATTCTATTCATAAATATATTGAAAGTGCAATGCTATAGTTACGTAGATTTTTCAGGGTATGATGCCTTAATAAGGAAAAAATGTAAGTACAATTTTATAAAAAAAAAAAAAAAGTAGAAGAAAGAAATGAAAGTACAAGCCTATAACTCTTGCATTTTTCCCTTGATAATGTTACTAATTAATTACATAAAAAGATTAATAACAAGATTTATAATTTTGGTTGCAAATCTTATTTTCATTTGGTCAGGTTTCAAATATGATATTTTTGGACTCTCCTGTTGGAGTTGGTATGTCTTACTCCCGAGATAAATCTGACTACCACACCACGGATACAAAAACGGCTTTAGATTCCCACAAATTTCTACTTGAGGTATTCTCAAAAATAAACAAACAACAAAATGTACCTCTGAATACATACATCTATTATAAAAATGAACGTTAACTACATTTCATGTTTTTGTAAATTTAGTGGTTCAAGTTATATCCTGAATACCTTTCAAATCCTTTTTATATTTCCGGTGAGTCATTTGCTGGAATTTACATCCCTACATTGTCCTATCAAGTGATCAGAGGTAACTAACTAACTCTCTTAAACCCAAACAAACATGATTCTGAGTAAATTACGATAATGCCCTTCTTGAGATTCTTCAGGACTTGAAACCGGTGATAAACCCACTATCAACTTCAAGGTGCAACCTCAATTAAAAACTTTGTGATATATATACACACACACACACAACTACACCTATTTTCATTTTGGAGATATCTAAATTCACTAGATTAATACAGGGATACATTATTGGAAATGGAGTTTGTGATCAAGTGTTTGATGGCAATGCTATTGTTCCGTTTGTTCATGGGATGGGCCTCATATCGGATGAACTCTATGAGGTACAGTGGATTTATTTTGCAAATATGACATCAGCAGTGGGTAATTTCTTGTAGTAAATGGTTTAGAGCTAATATATTTATAATTGAGGAACGACTTTTAGAAATATGCATATCAAGAGTTGAAGTTAAGATTAAGAACCAGTTGGTTTGACTTTAAAACTGTTATCAAACTGTATTTTCATGAACAGATGTTGGCATAACTTGGATGCTAAACACATGCAGGAAGTTAACAAGACGTGTAAAGGGGAATTTTACAATCTACGAAACAAAGAGTGTGAAAGCAAGATTAGAAAAGTTGACGATGTAATTATCTACTGTTCTTTCTTTTATTCTTCCAAAATCCACGTGTTCTATGACACACACTTGCTTACCTTGGATTTCAACTCTCGTACATCCAGGTTCTTGATGGTTTAAACATGTATAACATTCTCGAACCGTGTTATCACGCTAATGATTCAAATAAGATGAATGAAAATACAAAATTACCCTTGAGCTTTAGGAAATTGGGGGAGACCGAAAGGCCCCTTCCTGTGCGAACCAGAATATTTGGGCGTGCTTGGCCTTTTAAAGCTCCGGTGAAGCCCGGTTACGTGCCTAGTTGGCCAGAGATTCTCGAAAGCTCACAAACCGTTCCATGTATTGTAAGTCGTTCAAAAAAAATGTCAAGATTATGGGGGCATTTTGGGTATTTGCTTACTAGTCAAATACGTATTTTTTTTAATTTTGTAGAAAATGAAACCATTTGTTAGGTTTTAGAATTTAGTTATGGAATATTGTTTCTATTTTTTGTAGGACGACTCAGTGGCAAGTAGATGGCTAAATGATGAAGCTGTTCGGGTAGCAATTCACGCTGACCCGGTAAGATAGAATAGGTTTCTGTTTATAGTAAGATTAATATATATGCGGATTGAATTCTCGATAGATTGTGAAGTTAAACGGATACTTCAGATTCTATTGGCTGGAAAGTGGATGATATGTACCGATAGGATTAAATATCATTCAAACACCGGAAGCATGATCCAGTACCACAAAATCCTCACTTCACGTGGTTATCGCGCTCTTATTTTCAGGTATATCCGTTCGTTATATATCCAGATAGCAAAAAATAATAATAATAACAATCATAACCTCAAGTTAGGTGTCTAAATCATCAACGAATAAGTAAAGACAATAATCTTCTCATCTCTTCACTTATATGCATGCCTCAAACATAGTGATCATTTCTTACCTAGAATACTAAAAAAAAATTAGCATGCGGAAATTGGTGTAAACATAAGTAAGAATCAACCATGATTAGTATGTCAAAGCTATATCTTACACCTCTCTTGATAGGATAATTCCTCTTGTTGGACTTACTCACGAAGAATCACTTATGTGATCCTCATCAAACAAGATGTATCTTATAAAGGATGTAAGATCATGCAATTCTTCTTTTAAAATATCATAAACCCTTTTTAATGATCTTCATTCTGCCCCCTTGACCCCGCATTTCTCCGCTACATTCCAAATACAAAATTATGTTGAGGTTTTGGGCTGCCAACGGATCTGCCCTTTGACCCCGCATTTCATCGTGTTTGTAATCAAACTCGTTTAATATGCAAGTGTGCATTTTGCACCATGTAATTTTTAATATATCATAGTTTAAATCCCCTTTGAACGTTTGTGTTTATTCCAAATACATTAAATTAAATTGTAGATGACACTAAAATCATCAACACATAACACTCTATCAGTGTCATCTTTATTACCTAGTTGATTCTGTAAGGCGTACCCCAAGCACATCTAGGTAACTAAAGGTCACGCAACAACTTCCTCAAGGAAACAATTTCATTCTCATGCTTAAATAGTTGGTCACTCTCACTTACACTTCTACCAAAATCAATGGTACCATGAGTCAAATCTCACCACAGTAAGTCTAAATATATTGTCTCAACCTTTTCATTTTTATCATAGGGGGCGTTGAGGGGGGGGGGGGGGCAAAGTGGGTAGCTGCACAGGGCCCAATTTTTTTTATTATATATTTTTATTTAAAAATAAAAAATTATAATAACGATAAGGGCCCTTTTTTTATTGTTCGTCCTGGACCTTTGAGAAAATTTAACTTCTTAGAACCGGCCCTGATTTTTATACCTCTTGAACTTATTGACATCTGAGTCCATGCCAGCTTCAGTAATCATTACAACATGTTTTATTTGGTTTTGTTTTACCTCGACAAGCGTAAGAAATGGTCCTTAAAAAACAGGATCAATGGTTATGTGTTTAAACAAATTTCCTTCAATGTGTTTCACATCACATCATACAAATGGGGAGAAATTTAAAAAAAAAAAAAAAAAAAAAAAAAAAAAAAAAAAAAGAAGTTACAAATATCATGTACTCTTACAGTGGGGATCATGATATGTGTGTTCCTTTCACCGGAAGTGAAGCTTGGACACGATCACTAGGCTACAAGCTTATCGATGATGAGTGGAGGCAATGGGAGGTCGATGAGCAAGTTGTGGGGTATGCTTTCGTTGGCTAATACAAAAATACGACAATAAAACACTATTACTTATGTGAAGAATTTTAACCATGATGGCGTATGTTGATATATTTCTCCTCATTGTAGATACTTACAAGCATACGATAAGAACCTCACATTTCTCACAGTCAAGGTTTGTCATATCCATGCCTCTTAAGCTAAATGTTTGATGGTTTGTCATATGTTATTGAAATTGTTTGTACATCGATGTGATGCAGGGAGCAGGGCATACTGTACCTGAGTACAAACCCAAAGAAGCATTGGCTTTTTTCTCCCGCTGGTTAGATGGAAAGGAAATATAGGAAAATCCCATTTATCATTTTATCAATTGTTTCTAAAATAGTACGTTGTTAATTAGAAAATAAACCGGTGTCTAGAAAAAATAACGCAAAAAAATGTCATGTACAATGAAAATCGAAAAAGGAAAATATATCTTCATTGATGAAGGCCGATTATGGATCGTTGGTATTAGGCAGTCTCAAAAGCTGTTACAGTTTTGCTTTATTAATTAAGAGATATTTGACGCATTTGATTATTTGGTTGATAAACCATCTATCAAGGCAAATATTACGATCCTTTCACAAAAAAATCCTCCTTAATAAATGAGGTTTTTTTTTTCACAAAAAAATCCTCCTTAATAAATGAGGTTTTTTTTGTCACATGTCAATCTTTCATGAGTTTTGATACTTATCATTTTATGGTATTTTTGAAATAAATATTATCCATTTGTCAATTTTTGGTTAGTTTCAATTTTTAAAACTAAAATCATATACTTATATATGTAAAATATTAAATATCATATATATGATATTAAATTACAACAAATACGTTTCTTCCTTTTTTATTTTAAAATTGTACATTAAAAAATATTTTTTGTTTACACTTTAATGTTTAATTTTTTTTAAATCAACTCGTGTAATCTACGGGTCTCACACCTAGTTGGTAATAAATTCTTGGTTCAATTACAGTTTTGGTCCCTGTGACATGTTTTTATCTGTAGTTTTTGTCCTGTTTTGAAAAAATGATGTCAATGATCCTCATGATTTCAAAATCCATCACGCTTGGTCTTTTTACAATTACCGGCAACCTCCCTCTGTTAAGAGATAAAATGACCAAACTATCCCTCTTTTGTCTCTTTCTTATTTTGTCTTTTATTATTTTTAGATTTTTTATTATTAATATTATTATATAAATGGGCCTTATCTAGCCCACCCAACTTTGAACTTGGGACACTCCCCTTTTCAACCATCCTCTTTCTTTCCGTCAAGGTTGTAAAAAATGTTAGACGTTTGCTAGTCGGTAGATTGTGGTTAAGAGATTAATCGGCTAAGCAGGGATTAATCGAGGACCATCAATTGTTAACTCGTTGAATTTTAAAAAATTAAATATGACTAATATCATTACAAAGTTCGTAAGTATCACTTATATCATAATAAAATCGGTTAATATGATTAATACAACACTAATCATTCCTCAAATAGTTTCTATTGAGATAGAACTTCTTCAAGTGTTACAATTTCATCTTTTTCTACTGATTCACTCATTTTCTAGACAGGGATTAATCGGGGACCATCAATTGCTAATTCGTTGAATTTTAAAAAATTAAAAATGACTAATATCATTACAAAGTTCGTAAGTATCACTTATATCATAATAAAATCGGTTAATATGATTAATATAACACTAATCATTCCTCAAATAGTTTCTATTGAGATAGAACTTCTTCAAGTGTTACAATTTCATCTTTTTCTACTGATTCACTCATTTTTCTAGACATGGATTAATCGCTAGGCGCCTCTAATCGGTCGGGTAGTGCCTAAGGATTAATCGGAGATTAATCGGGACCTAGTCGGGATTTTTACAACATTGGTTTTCGGTGAGCTACCACCTCAACCACGGTCTTGACCAAAAAAAAATAAAAAAAACGTGCAACCCCTACAAAAAAAAAAGACAACCCCTACAAGAAAAACGTGCATTAGCAGTGACACCACCATTAGCGGCGACAATTTTATATGTCACCGTTGATGGTGGCGTCCTCTAAAGGTGATACACAGCGATCTACGTCTTGCTCCAAGAAGTAACCCCATACATTGATCATATCACCCAATCGAACAACTTATGATCCCTTCCATCTTAGATATCATTACCGGCGACACAAATAACGGCGATTTTGTCGCCGCTAATGCCCAAATATATTAACCGTGAAAGAATTCCCTCCGATTAACCCGATTTGTCGCCATCTACATCGAGACATTCTTGCATTCATTTCCAGATTACAGCAAAACCTCGAATGAACTCATCCTCCGACGATTTCGATTTCCAAACCCACAAATGAAGCTCTAGCCACCCTCGATTGAAGCTTCGGTCACACATACACCACTGTCGACCATAATTTGCGGGCGATGAAGCATTTATTGACGACGCCTTTTGTTTTTCCGACAACGATATGTTCCCTTTTCCCTCCTTTCTCTTTCTCTTTATCTTTATCTTTCTCTTTTTCGTCTGACCATAATTACAGACCTATTTGTTGGTCTTTGTTGGTTTTTGTTGTTTTAAGTTACACCACCATTGCCATTGTTGCACCATTGGCGACTACCACCACCACAACACCACCGGCGACCACAGGTACATATTTTTGAATTTCTTGTATATGTGTGTGTATTTATGTGTGTATTTGGTATATATGGGTGTATTTGATCTTGTATATGTGTATGTATTTGGTATATATACGTGTGTATTTGATCTTGTATATGTGTGTGTATTTAGTATATTGGATGTATTTTTGTGTGTATTTGATCTTTTATATGTTTGTGTATTTATGTGTGTATTTGGCATATGTTCCTAATTCTCTACATGTTTTGTTCTTGTTGTTTGTGAAAATTATGATAAACATTGCTAGAAACAATAAGTAGATTAAAAGAAGTTACTTTTGTCTCAAACCTATTTGATACAATTCGGAAGAATGAATTAAACTAATTAAAAGAGTATTATAAATTTCTAGTAAAAAGTTCTTCGTGGCTTGTTTGTTGTTGTGCATCCACACTTTAATTGCTATGATAAACATTATTGGATATATATATATATATAGACCTTGAGGTAATTCTCATCAAGAGCTATAGTATATGTTTGTGTGATTGGTATATGTGTATGTGTATTTGTATATTTGGTATATGTGCATATGTAAATGGTAATTTGATAGTTTGGTAATTGACAATTTGATAGTTAATTTGATATGTAGATAAATTGGTAATTGTTAGTTTGGACCTTGGTTTAATTTAGAAGGTTTATGTTGGTTCGTTGGTTTGTTAATTTGATTGTTTGTTGAGATGTAGATAAACCGGTAATTGGTAATTTGCTTATATTTTGGTAATTGTTAGTTTGGTTGCAGGGGCGGACCTAGGGGGTCCATGGTGGCACTGGCAACCCCTGACTTTTCCGGCCGCAGTGGAAAAATTTTTGAAAATTTTTGAAAATTTTATTTTTCTACTACTGTGCAACCCCTACTGTGAAATCTTGCGTTCGCCCCTGTTTGGTTAATATTGATTGTTTAAATTATAAGTTTATATGTTGTTATTTATTATATAGTTGCAGAATCTTCGATTGATGCTTAACGATCCGGCGTGTAGTGCCGAACTTTTAGCATGGCTTGTGGCGAATAAAGCGATATATGAGGGAATGAGGGGAATGAAGACGATGTCACGTTGGATTAGTTTTATCTTTTGTTAGACATTGTAGTATGACATAAATTTATAAGACTTTTGTTATTTATTATGGTATATGTATGGTATTATAACACTTTTGGTATGTAAGTGGATGTTGTTATGTAATCATTTTTCTACATTTTAGGTATCGGTTTTTCTACGTTTAACGTTATCACATATCTGTTTTTAGCAGTGACACTATTACTGGCGAAAAGAGGCAATACTGGCGATTTTGAGCAATACCGGCAACATGCATTAGCGGTTTTTTTTTAAGCAATCATCGTTAAAGGTATTAGCGGCGAATTTGATGATCAATAGAGGTAAATTTTTTCGTCGTTAAAACCCTCTTTTCTTGTATTGGCCTCCCTCTCACCCTATTTGTCTCCGGTGTGCTACCACCACCACCACCGTTTACTCCATCGATCTCCATCGTTTGTAACTCGCTTTTAAATGTTCAAACTCATATATGCTTACAGTTTCATCGGATCATTCATACCATCTTCATCAATGTATGCTTAGGGTTTCACCGAACCAAATCCAATATTTGTATAGGGATGATGATCGGAGATATTATATGTAGGGTCGGCCCAAGGGGAGTTCAAAGTGTATCTTTGAAGAGGGCCACTAAGATCCTGAGCCCAATTTTTGTATTGTGAATTATTTGTTTGGCCCAAATCATATTAGGTTAGGAATGTATCAGTCATCAGTTGAGAGTAATGAGGAACGACCCAAGATGATGAACGGGAATCAGAAACGGCGGAAAGCAGGGATCATAATTTCTTCGGGAGAAGTAAACATCGTTTTGGTTCCTATATTCTCGTTGATTACTGATGGCTAGTGAATCGTCTAGGCTCCATGGCAGCAATGGTCTCCTTACTTTCTTTTTCATAAGCTTTGAGTTCTTATTTCTTTTTTCTTACCCCCATCTTCACCGGTCCTCAAAAATCAGTGAATGAAAAACAAATCGGGAAGCCTTGTTACTTCAAAAATCATAAATCATAAATCATAAATTCACAAGCAAATTGACGTTTACTTCAAAAATCAGTAAACCATAATTCAAAAAGTAGAAAGGTATTCTTATTCCTCATAATTTCTTTATAAGAAGTAAATAAGTTTTTTTCTTTCATTCTTTTTCGAATTCTCAAATTTAGAAGCTTTGAGGTTTCGAAAATCATAGCTAATCAAAATTTCAGAAGAAAGCAATCCTCTTGAGGTGTCGAAAATATGAAGGTATATTTATAATATTTTATGAGAACTTTTTTATGAGAAGCAAATCAAAGTATTTCTTTTCTAAGAATGTGATATAAGAATTTTTTATCATAATTTTTTTATCAAAAGCAAATAAGAGTATTTCTTTTCTGAGAATGTAATATAACTTCTGATTTATGATGTAACACCCATTTCCTGGTATGGTACTACTGAATTTAATTTCATTTATTAAGTTTTGGGATTTTATCTAGGCCACAAAGTGGTGATGGAATGACTACGACGTGGCAGCCCGATTCCGGAAAACACGCATTCGTAAACCTCCACGACATGGCAAGCTCTTGGCCACGGCGTGTTCAAAACCCTAGATTCTGGGATTAGTGCCCTATTTAAAGACACTAGCTTCTAGGGCTGCCTCATTTGGCAGCCTCCACCCTCTAAGAACGACCTCTACCCAAACCCTAGCCTCTTTATGTGAGTTTTAAGAGTGTGAAGCCATTTTTTGAAGCTTGGAAGAAGAAGGAGTCCATCTTGTGGTTTTTTAGCATGAC